GTTATAAGATCTAAGAGATCTTCTTGTTACCAAAGAGATCACATGGCAGGGAAAATGTTTCTTAAAAGGAAGACACAAGGCTGAATTCTAACCTGAATGTAAATGTAAGCCAACCCATCTGGTTTGCATCTCGCCCCTGGTAAATCCAAACGATAAAAAAACGCAAGGTCAAAGAGTCAGGAAAAAACCCAACACAGTCAGTTCCAGGGTTGTTGTTAAGTGCTGACTGCCAGCACAATTCGCCTGCTGAGAAAGAGGTGATCGCTGGCTGGATTTTGGTGGGTGATCACTCAGTAAAGGACAACGAACAGATTTTAAGTTACGCACAGACAATTGATGATTCGATATCTGAACCATATCAAACTGTCTACCCAAGGTAGTCAGGAAGTTTAGAATAAATTCTTGACTACCTTGAGTATCCGTGCCACTATTATGAGTAAAGTAATAGTTATGATAATAATAATAATAGTAATAATAATAATAATGATAATGATAACGATAAAGATAATTAATAATTAATAACTAATAATTAAATAATAATTAAAATATTTAAACAGGAAGCCCATTTCACTATAAGGTGCTCTTCAGTGGGCCCTGCATAAATTTAAAAAAATCAATATTAAAAGTTAAAATAATAATTGAAATAAAATATTGTTTTGAGCACTTGTTTTCATGTTCTCTTTCCATGTACCACGTCTGCAATCTTGTAAACACAACATTTAGTAACCCTGCATTCAAGGCATTGTGAAAGATTGGAAACAAAAATTTTGTTCCAGGTCTCTCATCAAAAATGGTGACTGCTCCAGGTCTCTTGTGAAAAATGGCAACTTGCTCAATGAAAATCTTAGCCAGGAGACTATTTTCTTATTCACAACCCGGCAGTTCCATATACAAATGCTGGGTTGATCAGCAGGTGAATAATACAGAGAAAAGTTAACTTCAGTGCACTGCTTAGTTCAGTCATCACTGCATAAGAGGGTTTCAGTAGACAAGATCAACACCAGCTTAAATGGCAGTCACATCCATAACAAAAGGATAGAGAAAATTTACCTACAGAGAATAACATGAACACACATAGAGCATACAGTATTGCTCAAGTACTAACCTGCCAAAAGTAGACAACACATTGAAAATCCTCCTCCTGTTCTACTGGTTCATCATCTTCATCATCTCCCTCAGGCTGTTCAACTGGCACCCAATAACGACACAAGAAGACGTAACAGTCTCCCATATAAAAATGTCCTGAAGAGATGGAACAAAACACGACAACTTAAAAATATAGGCCAATTTGAGAATGCCCGATTTTTGTTTCTCTGTCAGCAACTGACAAGCTACTTTTTCGTATGAGATATGTCTTAGCAATTACCTTTATACACAAAATTGAAACATTTGCCTTTATCGCACAGCAGCCATCTTGGATTGACGTCATGTACTTTTGACACCAATACGAGGCCATGCGTGTAAAGTCAACTTCCGGCGATCGAGGAGACAAGGCGATCATCTGCAATCATGCCCAACGGAGACCACTGTTGCGTGTCGCAATGTAAAAATAATCGTGCTAAAAATATTCCAAATCATACCTTTCACCAATTTCCCAGTGATGAAGCCATTCGAAAGCAGTGGGTTGTCAAAATACGGCGAGACGTGGGCAAAAG